TGGACAGGAAGCTCAACATGAGTGAGCAGTGTGCTGCTGCGGCCAAGAAGGCCAATAGGATGCCGGGTTGCATCAAAAAGGGCATCACCAGCAGAGATAAAGAAGTCATTATCCCTCTCTACTCGGCGCTTGTCAGGCCACACCTGGAATACTGTGTACAGTTCTGGTCCCCGTTATACAAAAAAGATGTGGACAGGCTGGAGGGGGTCCAGAGAAGGGCCACCAAGATGATCAAGGGTCTGGGAAGCCTGCCGTATGAGGATAGGCTGAGAGAGCTGGGTTTGTTCAGCCTTGAGAAAAGGAGGCTTAGAGGTGATCTCATCACCATGTACCAGTACTGAAAGGGGAGCTACAAAGAAGATGGAGACTCCCTTTTTACAAGGAGTTGCATGGTGAGGACAAGGGGTAACGGGTACAAGTTACTCCCAGGGAGATTCCAATTGGACACGAGAGGTAAATTTTTCACAATGATGAGAACAGTCAACCATTGGAATAATCTCCCCAGGGAAGTGGTTGACTCAGCTATGCTGAACATGTTTAAGACTCAGCTGGACATGGTGCTGGGGCATCTGGTCTAGATTGTGCTCTTGCCTAGAAAGGTTGGACCAGATGATCCTTGAGGTCCCTTCCAACCTGGTATTCTATGAGACCACAAGTTGGCATCCTATGACAATGGTGACACCAAGAGATATAGGTAAGCCAAAGAATAAATGAGACCCTGCAGCAAGAAAGAGGATTACTTCTGGAGAGCAGAACCCTTGCATAGCTTCAGTCAGGCTACAAAAGCTGGTAAGAATGCTGCTATTGCAGCAGTTTTGTGAACTAAGATGGGAAGCTTTTAAAGCTCCTAAACATTTACAGGGGAAACACAATCTAGTTCTGAGGTATCACCCCTAACTTGGTGAGGCATATGTTGCAAGAAGAATGCTGCTCTAATTGTACAGTTGCATAGGAATAACTAGATTAGCACTATACAGTCACAGCCATGGGCTCATGAGAAATATAAGGAAACAAGTTAAAGACCAGTCTAAAAGATGTCTCATCAATACTTTGATATTCATCCTCTTCAGGGAATGGCAGTGGCAGCCCGCTCCCAGGGTCAACACAAACAGAAGATCTGGGTGAACATCTCCCTCTCTGGTATCAAGATAATAGATGAGAAAACTGGGGTAAGATATGACTTGTTATTTTAATGTGATTCTTAAAGCAAGTGAGGCGCTTGGAAGTTAGGCCAATCTGAACTAGATTCATTAATAGCATCATGCCCCCCTTCTGCATATAAGAATTGGCTTGTGTAATGGGTTGTAAAGCTGAAGCCTCCTGCCAGAAAGATAGCTACATCCTATTGTAGTTAATCAAAGCCTGATAAATTTGAGTCTTGAACTGGAGTCTTCTAACAATCTTAATTCTAACTATAGAGAAGAGCAGCCATTATGTTTCCTGCGTTTTCTTCCAATTAAAAATAAATTTCCCCCCCCCCCCCCCCCATTCTAGGTCATAGAGCATGAGCATCCAGTAAACAAAGTCTCATTTATTGCTCGGGATGTAACAGATAATCGTGCCTTTGGCTATATTTGCGGAGGAGAAGGCCAACACCAGTTTTTTGCAATAAAAACAGCACAACAGGTATGGATCAGAGGCCCTTTTTCACTTGCTATGAGTAATGTTATTGTGTAAACACTTAACATCTCTAGGTCATAGAGCATGAGCATCCAGTAAACAAAGTCTCATTTATTGCTCGGGATGTAACAGATAATCGTGCCTTTGGCTATATTTGCGGAGGAGAAGGCCAACACCAGTTTTTTGCAATAAAAACAGCACAACAGGTATGGATCAGAGGCCCTTTTTCACTTGCTATGAGTAATGTTATTGTGTAAACACTTAACATCTGATAAGGGTGTAGTGTTTTGCTAGTAGCCCTATGAGGTGTAGGGGAACATCAGCACAGATGGATTGGTCCTTCTCCTAGAGAAGGGCAGTAGGAATTGACTGTACACAAGTGGCTTTTATCTTGTTCAGCTTCTCTGTAGTCCAGAATAAAAACACTGAAGTAGCCTTGCTTACTATGATTAATCTTGCTTAACATGTCCATGAACCATGGAAGGCATTAGTGAGATGAACAGAGCCATTATCATGGGCTTTCCTGTACCAGTGGCCTGTTGCTGTCAGCAAGAATGCTAATTATTGAGTTGGATATCTTTGCTGCTAATTCTGAGTGAAGCTAAAGATGTTAGAACTGCACTAGTCTAGTTCTCATGATGCTTTGTCTTGTGCAGCAGTTTCTGGAGCCAATGAATTGCAGGTCTGGTCCTCCTAGAGTTACTTCTGGGAGGGATTCTGATCTTTCTGTCACAGGATTTCTGCATGGGGGGAAACCCATATGCAGGGTCTGTCTCTATGAAGAGAAGCTGTGCATAAGTGGTACTGGAAACAAAGTACTTGGAATTACTGCTGAGTATTATGCAGCTTCCTAAATGACATGAACTTAAGTTGAATATTTATCATTTATTAGCTTGTCATTATAATGTCTTTATAATGGTCATTAAAATGACTTGAAGAGCCAAGGCTACAAAGCTAGTAACTTCCTCATACACATCCCTGCCTGCCCTCCTGAAGAAGTTGGCAGCTTCAGACCCACTACAGGTGATACTGAAGGGTTCCTTGTTGGAGCATGTTATTACTTTAGTAATAGCTGTAACACCCTCACCTAAGCCTGTTTTATTAGTTTATTGGAGTCCTGTGTTGTACTGGCTTCACTGGAATTGTAGATCAAGTACAGAAGCCTTCTGTGTGTGCTCTGGAGTGGAGTCTGTTCTCTGAGCTTTTCACCATGGGGTGCTGCTTGCCAGCCTATAAGCTTAGCCAAGCTGTGGAAAGCTCTTGACTTGCTGCTAGTTGTTTTTAACACAAACTTGGCTAGCTGATAAGTAAGGATTTCTGCAGCTCTAGACTGCTGCAGCTGTACTGTTTGTCAAAGGTGATAACTCTTGAAATGGCTCTTCCTGCAGTTGCACGTCTAAAAACCCTTGATTAGGAGAGGATGATGCTCACATGTAAACAGTGAGATCTGTTCAATAGATTCTTTGCTTGAGCTAAAGGCAGTACCTTTAGCAGGAGGACTTGTCCTACTCTTAGATAATGACACAGCTGCTATGTGCCTCAAGCAAAAGATCCAAATCAGTGTAGCTGAACCTGCCACCATCTCAGCAACTACTCAAAACATTCTTGTTAATGGGTGTGCAGGGAATGCAGATGCAGTGCCTTTCTAATTCACACTAAATTTCTATCCTGATACAGATATCACTTAAAGCTGGTGTCTGCTCCATACATTTGAGGTGATGATAATCTTACCTTATGCTTGCATCACTGATTTACCATTTGCATAGTGTTTAAAATAAGTGTAGTACTAGCTATAGAAGCTGTCTCCAGGTTCAGTGTTGGAGTTGGTAGAAAAGAGGGATGCAAATTGCTTTTCTCATGAGACTACCAGAGGGTTTGGATACCCTTTTGCTCTTTTGAGAAAATATGATTAGGACTTGCCATGTACTTATGAAATCTTGCGCTACATGCTTTTAGCAAAAAAAAAAAAGTAGGCTTAGTACAAGTATGGTCACTTTCCCTGGGGACTTAACAGTTCTAAGTTGGTTGTGTCCCATTACCCTTGGATTCTGCATAAGCTCTCTTATGCAGAGACTAGACAGTTATTTAAACTCTTGTTTTTCCTGTTATCTCAACCTTACTGTTGCACCATTTAGGAAAGTTTGGCTTGCTGCTCCCTGGACTTCTACTGAAGCAAGCTGTGAAGTAGTACATGGCCTAAAATCTACATTCTTTTTTTAGGCTGAGCCTCTAGTTGTTGATCTTAAGGACCTCTTCCAGCTAATATATAATATGAAGAAGAAGGAAGAGGAAGACAAGAAAAAGGCAAGTAAAATTATAGAAACTGCATTAGCCTGCATAGAAATAAAGCTTGTTTCAGCTTTGGCTTGGTTTTTGGGCTCTTGTGAGACTTTACGCTGAGGTCTGTCTAGAGCCAGGATCATTTGAGGCTATTGGTTGGTAGTTGTACCAGCAGTTTGATTACCTCCTAGATCTGGTAAGCTCTCCAAAGCAAGAGGCTTTAGATGTTCTACATGATATCTAGGTACTAAAAGCCTTTTCTTCAGGGTGAAGAAGCAAGTAAGACTGAGGTAAGTCACTCCAACTCAGCCTCACTTTATTAGGTATGCTGCTGCGATACAACTACCTTTGACTTTCTGCTAGCATTATGGAGGCAACATCAGATGCCCAATTGCATTGGAAATGGGAGTAAAAGGGGTCTCCAGAACTAATATTAAGTAGTGATCTCCCTCATACTTCCTATTTCCATTACTTGCTTTTTCAAGCCTGTAAGTCCCTTGCTTAAGGCAAGTTTTGATATTCCAGTTGTCATTGACACTGTTGTCCATCTATTACAGAATGGTAGCGAAGCACTACCTGCTGATCAAGCTGACAAACTGAAACTGGTAGGTTAAATTCTAGAGCTTTATGCTGATGCCATTAAGTTCATAACTGACTGTCTCAACATTGTGTGGGAAATTGTATTGGGTTTGCATGGCAAGGTTTTGGTAGTGGGGGGGCTATAGGGGCAGCTTCTGTGAGAAGCTGCTAGAAGCTTCCCCTATGTCCGATCGCGCCAGTGCCAGGTGG